GGATTCCAGTCTCATCATTTTTATTCAACATAGTACTAGAAGTTCTAACCACGGCAATTTGATAAGAAATCAAAGACATCAAAAATCAGAAAGGAAGCAGTAAAATTATCTCTATTTGTTGATGACATGGTTATATGTGTAGAAAATCACAAAGACTCAACAATAACAAAGAAACTAAAGCTGCACCATAAAAAAGTCAACACACAAAAGTTCAGTAGTTTTTCTGCACACAAGTATTCAATATGCAAACTAAGCAAACATTTCAAGAGACTGGGTGTCCCTAGCTCAATAGTAGAGCTCTTGCCTAGCCTGAGCAAGGCTCTGGGTTTGATCCTGAGGACCACCAAGACACAAAGAAAAAAATAATCCATTCACAATAGCAGGAAAAATAATACAAACAAACTTAACCAGAGGTGAAAGACTTATACACTGAGAATTATAATACATTGATGAAGGAAATTAAAGGTATCACAAATAAATGGAGATACATTTCATGTTCATGAATCAGACAAATACTAAAAGGTCTACACTACCCAAAGTGATTTGTAAATTCAATGCAATCCTTATCAAAATCCCAATGGCATTTCTTAGAAGGAAAAAAAAATCCTAAAATTCACATGAATCACAAGAGATTCCAAATACCAAAAATCAATTATTGGGGGGAGTGGGTACTGGGATTGAACCCAGGGGTACTTAACCATTGAGCCACATCCCCCAGCCTTTTTCATGTTTTATTTTGGGGCTTGCTAAGTTGCTTAGGGCCTCACTTGGTTGCTGAGGCTTTGAACTTGTGATTCTCCTGCTTCAGCCTCCTAAACCTATGGGATTACAGTGTATACCACTGCACCCAGCTCCAAAATCAATCTTGAACAAGAGTAAAGCTGCAGGCTTCACACTTCCCGATTTCAAATATTTTACAGAAATACAGTAATCAAAACATTATGACACCAGCTTTCAAATCAAACATATGGACCAATGGGACACAACAGAAAGCCCCAAACTAAATCCATTTGTTTATAGTCAGCTGACCTTGGACAATGGTGCCAGAGATATACAACAGGGAGGAAATATACAGTTTCTTCCATAAGTGGTGCTGGGAAAACTGGATATCCACATGCTAAATAATGAAATTAGACTCTTATACCATATTTTACAAAATCAACTCAAAATAAATTGAAGACTTAAATGTTAGGTCTGAAACATGAACAACTAGAAGAAAGTTCTTGACATTGATCTCCCCCAAATAAATTAGAACTACAAATGATCCAGCAATCCCATTCTGAGTACATATCTAAAAGTCATTTAATCTGTTTTTCAGAGAGACACCTGTACTTCCACTGCTACATTATTTACAACAGTCAAAATACAAAAACAGGGCTGGGGTGTAGCTCAGTGGTAGAGGGCTTGCCTAGCATGCATAAGGCCCTGGGGTCAAGGCCCACACAACCCAGAGGAATCTCAAACATGATGATGGCCACAAACAGCCAAACACAAAGGAGAAAATGCTATCTGATAATATTCACATAAAATCCAGAAGCCAGAAGAAACTTAGCTAGAAGCATCTACGCTTAGGTGAGATCACAAAGAAAAACAAGCAGTTCTGGGCAGATTACTTCTGGAGGAGAGGAACAGAGTAGCAGTTGGGAGGGTCCGGTGGGCCTGTTGGAGCCCATCCTCTAGCCCTTGTTCCATGACTGTTTGCTTTGTGATAAATCAGAAAACTCAATTTTTTTATGATAATACTTGTATGTGTTACATTTCACAAGTAAAAAAATCCAAGAAACACTAAAGACTGGGAAAAGGTATTTGTAACATGTGTAAACAACTAGCATCCAGTAAAGGACTAGCAACCAGAGTATATAAAGAACTCCTACAAATCAATATGAAAAACAAAAAATGACCCAATAGAAAAATGGAGAAATATGAATAGGTACTTCACAGAAGGGGAAGTCACGGTGGTCAATAAACAAAAATATTCAATCTTGTTAACAACTATAAAAATGAAATTAAAACAAGGAAAACCTATACCTATCAGATTACAAAAAAAATGGCTGGTTGGGCACAGGGGAACACACCTGTAATCCTGACAACTAGGGAAACTGAGACAGGAGGATTGCAAGTTTGAGGCAACTTAACAAGAGTTTCTCAAAATCAATGAAAAAGACTGGGGATGTAGCTACTGGTAGAGTGCCCCTGGGTTCAATCCCCACTCTGGGGGTGGAGAATGATGTTTCTTACGCTGTAGATGGGAGTGCAAACTGATGCAAGCCCTCTGGAGGACAATTTGACAGTGTGGTAGAGCTGAATTTCCAACTTAGTGATTCCTTTCCTGTGTATATACCTGAAGAAACTACCTTACACAGAAATACGGAAAAACACACAAGCTTGCCCACTGCAAAATGCCTTTAACAGGAAGACACACAAGCAACACATTGCAGTGGACAGCGAATGGAAATAAATTTCAACTGACAGTTAAAATTAGTTAACTGGGTATTCCCAGAGACATGGGAGAAATGCTCAAAAATATACTTTTTGGGGGGAGGGGTACTGGGGATTGAACCCAGGGGTGCTTATGCACTAAGCCATATCCTCAGCCCGTTTTTATTTTGAGACAGAGTCTCACTAAGTTGTTTACAGAGTTTCAAGTTGCTGAGGTTGGTCTCGAACTTGCGATCCTCCTGCCTCAGCCTCCTGAGTCACTGGGATTACAGGTGTGTGCCACTGTGCCTGGCTCAAAAATATACTTTTAGGGCTTGGGATATAGCTCAGTTGGTAGAGTGCTTCCTTCCCATGCACAAGGCCAAGGATTCAATCAATCCCCAGCACCACACACACACACACACACACACAAATTTATACACATACACACTTCATTTATTTATTTAGTCTTTAAAATATGCTGACTTTAATTCTTTTGGATAAATACCAAGGAGTGGTGTAGCTTGATCATGAGTTAGATTTATTTTTAGATGTTTATTTCTATGGGGTGCTGAAATTTGAACCCAGTGCGTCACACATGCCAGGCAAGCACTCTACCACTGAGCCACAACCCCAGCCCCTTATTTTTAGATTTTTGAGGAACCTAAATACTGACTTCCATAGTGGCTTTCCTGATTTATGTTCCTACAAACCACATGTAAGAGTTCCTTTCTTCATGCATCTGCATTCTAACTGGAGAAAAATGGAATCTCATTTGGTTTTGATTTGCATTTCCCTGATGGCCAAAGATGTTGAAGATTTTTTTCATGTATTTGTTGGCCATTTGTACTTCTTTTGAGCAGTATCTATTCAGTTCACATGTCCTTTCATTGGTTGGATTATTTGGTTTTTAGATGTTGAGTTTTGGGAACTCTTTATATATTCTGGATATTTGTCCGCTGTTGGAATGGTAACTAAAGAATATTTTCTCTCATTCTGTCAGTTGTCTCTTCATTTTAAAATTATTTAACTTGCTGTGAAGAAGGTTTTAAATTACAGGCCAGCTCATTTATTCTTTCTCTTATTTCACATTATAGAGATTTAATTCAGGAAGTTTTTGCCTGTGCCTGTATGTTGGAGTATTTCCCCTACATTTTCTTCCAACAGTTGGAAAGTTTCTGGTCTTATAGTTAGGTCTTTGGTCTAGTTTGAGTTTACTTTTGTACAGAATGAGAGAAATTGAGTTTCATACTTCTATATAGGGATATTCAGGGTTCCTAACACCACTTGTTAAAGAGACTGTTTTTTCTCCAAGGTATGTTTTTTTGGCACATTATCAAGACTCACATGAGTATATCTGTGTGGGTTTGTCTCTGCGTCTTCTAGTCTGTTCCACTGGTTCACATGTCAGCTTTTTGCTAGTATGGTTCTATTTTAGTTATTATGACTTTGTAGTATAACTTGAAATTGCAATCCCTCCATATTGGCTTTAGGCTTGCTATATACAGTCTTTATGATATTGAGGTAAGTTACTTCTATTCCTAGTTTTTTTTCCCCCGGGTTTTTATTATGAAGCATTGCTGAATTTCATTGAAGGCTTTTTCTGCATCTGTTGAAATGATCATGTGATTCTATTCATGTGGTGTATTACATTTATTGATTTGTGTATGTTGACCCATCCTTGCATCCATGGAATGCAATAAACCTGATAATGGTGTATAATCTTTTTAATGTACACTTTAGTTCAATTTGCTAATATTTTATTTAGGATTTTTGCATGTATGGTCTACAGTTTTTTTTCCTTGAAATATCTTTATCCAGTTTTGGTATGAGGGTGATATGGGCTTCATAGAATGAGTTTAAAAGTACATCTTCCCTTTCAGTTTCATGGAATAATTTGAGGAGTATTGGCATACATACTTTAAAAAAAAAAAAGGTTGCAGCTGGACACAGTGGCGCAGGCTGTAATCCCAGCAGCACAGGAGGCTGAAGCAGGTGGATCACAAATTCAAAGCCAGCAAAAAGCAAGGCGCTAAGCAACCCAGTGAGACCCTGTCTCTAAATAAAATACAAAATAGGGCTGGGGATGTGGCTCAGTAGTCCATCCCCAGTGCCAAAAAAAAAAAAGTTGCAGATGATTATATATAATGGCATATTTAAATATCTGGCATAATTATATTTATATATCCTATATTATATTACAATATTTACTATAGTTAAGCACTTAAACCACACATTATTTTGTGAAAATACAGAAGCCGTCATTGCTAGTGAGGGAAATGAATGTCGTCAGGATGAGGTACCAAAGAGGGGCACATCTGTATCTACCATGTTTTGTTTACTAGATTAAATCTGAGTGGTGGGCACAAGGGTGTTTTTTAGTACTACTACATTTGCTATGTTTAAAATATTTCACTAAAACAAAAAGAGGACTAGAAAAAGTCTTCTGGAAACTTCTAGATCCAAATTAGGATGATTTCCAAGTCCCACAGAGCCAATAAGCCAAACCACTTTTCAAAGTCTTTGATGTGGGACACCATTCTTCACATTTGCTGTTGTCTGTGGGTTGTATATGTACTCACCCAATAAACAGAGATAGTTGGGTTCAGTTAATCTGGACAGTTTTGTAACCTGATTCAAGATGTTGTAAAGTTCTGTTGGCTCACAAAAAACCAAATCAGCCATCCTATTGGGAAGAATCAATAATGCACAAGTTTAATATATCTCTTTTTATTTAAGAAAAATGACCATAAAGATACTGAATTAAATTTTCTTAACATCCCTTCAAACTTAATATAAGTCATCCGGAAGCCTTTGAAAATTGGAAGTGAAATATGTGCAGAGGAGACTAATATATGGAACCCCATAGAGCTGTAAGATACCAGGTCGGCTGCATAACAGCCGTCAATCAGTTCATCCGTTCACTTAGCCAACCACAGACCACGCACTGAAAACAACCAGGATAAATAAGACTGACCCTTGCAGAGGGCCTAAGCCCAAGAAGGAGGAGCACCACAAGAGAATAAGCATGTACTGTTACAATGGGGTTTCTCACCTAGTCAGGAACCAGACAAGGGTTGTCTAAGGATGTGACTGCTAAGCTGAGGCAGGACACTGGGCGAGGTGGAGAAGGGAGAAGGTGAAGAAGAAATATTCTGTTAGCAGCAGGAATGAGCTCAATACCTGAGAAAGTTAAAGGAGTCTGTTTGGCTACAGCTGGAGAGTGTAGGGGATAACCTGGGGAGCCCTGCAGACTGTGTCAGGGGTCATGACAGTGCTGGATGGAGAGGCTGATGGGTACAGAGGTGGGCTCTGGTGCCTGAGGGCAGGGGCTGCTCTTGGGACACCGATTCCTGGGCACAACTAATTCTGGAAGGGTTGGACCTCTCCAGCAACTTCTTGTAGGAAGCTTCCTTTTAGAAAGGGAGGCAGAGTAGAACCCCTGGAGGCAGCAAAGAGAGGTTGGGGGGAGTGGAGTCCAGAGGTAACCTGGTTCAAAACAGACTCCATTTCAGAGTGGCCAGGGCAGCGTTCCTCAGCGACTTCAGTCCTCCAGGTCAAGTTCAGCCTCCACACGAATCTGCACACAAACATCCTCTTGTCCCTCTCTCATCTCTGCCCTCCTTTCCTTTACTTCCTCACCCCCAGGAATGTCAAGGTCTCAGGTTGGAATCCTGGCTGTGCCACTTCCCATCAGCTGCCTGACCTTGAGGAGTAGTTACTCTGTGCCTCAGTTTCTACCTCTGTAAAATGGGGGCAATAAGAGTGTTCCCCTTCTGTAAAACGAGCACAACAGTCCCTGCCTGCTGCCTGTGGATTCAGGAAGCTAGCCAGGGAAGGTATTCTGAGCAGGGAGAAAATGCTCTGTAAGCACTGACTGTTGACGCAGGTTTCTCCTCTGGAGCTTCTAACCCCAAACCACAGAAGCTGGTCTCATCAAGGTCACTGACAGTGTCCCTCTTGCCTAAGCCCTTAATAACCCACCATGTAACAGTGAGTGTTTTTCCTTCCCCAAGCACCCGCTTCTCCCAGGACTCCATACTCTCTAAGCTTTTCTACTTCCTCTCAAGACTGTTCCTTTTCAGTCTTTGTCAAGGGTTTCCCTCTTCATGTAAGGATGCCCCTGGGCAGGGTCGTCTTTTTTCTTCCCCATCTATACACTCATTCTAGGTCACGTTTTCTAAACATTGGCATCCTTGACATTTGGGCTAGGTAACTTGCTGTGGAAGGGAGGGCTGGCCTGGGCATTGTAGTAGTTTAGCAGCATCCACACAGTAGAGGCCAGTAGCAACATCCAAAGATGTTGACTACTGTAAGATACTGATTTGGCACTGGGTCCCAGAAAGGCACAGTGGCTCAGCCTGAGGCAGGAGGATCACAAGTTCAAAGCCAGCCTCAGCAACTTAGCAAGGCCCTAAGCAAATTAGCAAGACCCTGTTTCAAAATTTAAAAAGTTCAAAAGGGCTGGGGATGAGGCTCAGTGGTTAAGCACCTTTGGGTTCATCCCCACTACCAAAAAAAAAAAAAAAAAGTCCCAGACATTGCCAAGTGTACCCTAGAAGGATGATGCAATATTGCTTCTAGTTGACAGCCATTAATCTAAGACTGAGTCTCAGTGATTCATTTGGTACCTTCAACACCTCTTATATAACAACAATTCCCACATCTTACCCTCTCTCAGACCCCTCACTCCAGACTCTACCTGGATACCTGATGGGCATCTCAAACATAATGTGGCCAAATAGAACTTATTATGTACACACGCCCATACCTCCAATACCTGCTTATCTCTTAGCCTTCAAGAAAAAGCACCATCATGCTCCAAATCGTTTCAGCCCAACTGCCGAGTCCCTCTTTCCCTTCCCCATTCCATCCTCTCTCTGAGCTCTCCCTCCCACATGGATTCCAAGCCACCTGCTCCTCTCCACTGCTCCTGATGACGCATGGCTGCCCAGCTGGGCTCTCCGTGTCTGCTTTCTCCCTAGTCCACTCCTCACATGGAAGTCAGGGCCATCTTTTCAAACTACAAGAGTCCTTGTCTTCACCTCACCTGCAGACATCTGAAGATACAGTGCTCATTTGTATGAGGAGAGCTCTGAGCCCATGGTTCATAAGAACAGAGACCTGCCCATCTTGTCCATTGGTGTATCTTCCCTCAGTGCCCAGGATTTATCTATCACAAAGCAGTGCTCAATAAGCATGTGCGGAATGGACATTGCTACTTACATTACACACATGGGGCCAGTTTGTCCTGCCCCCATGTTTTCCCCATATAGATTCTTTAAAGGACCTCTTCACTCCCACCACCCCCAGTCAGGTGCCAGGTCCTCTGTCTCTGAAAGCCCTGTCCCTGGGCCATCCTAGGGAATAGAAAGTACAGAAGAGAGGGGATGGGGTCTAAACCTCCATCCTCACTGAGCCAATCTAAAAGCTGGCCCCTTTGAAAAATCCATCTCCTCACTGAGTAGCCAAGGAGCAGTTTCTGAGCACCAGATAAAACCCCAGCCTCGGGGCATCTCTTCCTTCAAATACCTCTCCTTCTCAAAGGGGGCACTCTCTGGTGAAGAAACAAATGCCCTGGGCTGGGGATGTGGCTCAAGCGGTAGCGCGCTCGCCTGGCATGCGTGCGGCCCGGGTTCGATCCTCAGCACCACCTACAAACAAAGATTTTGTGTCCGCCAAATACTAAAAAATAAATATTAAAAAATTCTCTCTCTCTCTACCTCTATCTCTCTCACTCTCTCTTTATATTAAAAAAAAAAAAAAAAGAAACAAATGCCCTTTAGCAGCTGGCAAGGCTGCGGGGGAGGTGGAATCAGTCCCCAAACCTAACAGCACATTTCTGAAAGGATAAGCAACCCTGGGGGCAGAGATCAGGGGCAGATCCCTGGGTTGAGAAATGAGTGCTACCATCCCTTCCAGCACTCCTCCAAACTCCAGAGTTTAGATGTTCTTGGATCCACCATTTGGGCCCAAAGTATATCCGGATGTCATGCTTTTATTTAAAACATTCAAGCAATATGCTTTTTGTCCAAAGCATTTTCCTTAGTGGATGCCACTAGCCAATTTAAATTGGTTTTCCATATTTCACAATTGACCAATTCCAGTTTTTTTTCTACTTTCAATTTTGATAAATCAAACTTATTTTCCCCCCAAGATCAAATATTTTCCATGTGAATCTTACTATGAATATTTTTTCCTTAATTTTCATCATATCAAATTGAATTTTCTGGGAGCCTCCAGTCACTGTGAATTTCATTGATATTACTTCTACCAAGTCTCATTTTCTTGGTGGCCTATCCAAAACAGTGGGGTCAAAATGGCAAGTTTAAGAGGTCCCTTTAATTCTGGACTTTTTTATGGGGGGTTACTGGGAATTGAGCCCAGGGCACTTTACCACTGAGGTACATTCCTAGCCCTTACTTTTTGAGGCAGGGTCTCACTAAGTTGCTGAGGCTGGCCTCTACCTCCTGCCTCAACCTCCCAAGTCTCTGGCACACAGGTGTGTACCACTGCATCCAGGTATGCTAGGCTCTTTCAGAAAGCTCTTCATAAGATACTTGCAGGACATTTAGCATGATTGTCCTTGCATGGGGGATGGTCAGAGGGAACATCTTTTGGTGATCCACATTGATGGGGCTAAGAAAGATGGATCTTCCCATCTTTGCCCCCATATTTTCCCCATATAGAGTCCTTAAAGGACCTCTTCACTCCCATCTGTGTGAAATCCACACAGCTCTCTGGATGACCAGCAAAGCCACTTACTCTTTGTCAGGATGGAGGGTACCATTGTCAGCTTTGTCTCTGTACTTGGACATCATCCAGTAGGAAGGTCCAGCACCCTCTTTATTATAACCCAGCCTGACCTTCAAACTAGGGGCTTATGTGTGGCCCTCTTCCAGCCAGCAGCTGGTTGTGAGCTCACCTTCAGTGATAGCACACATCTGCATTTGAAGAAAACAGACAACCACAAAGGGACATTTCCTTAGGGGTTGCCAGAGCCTGAGACTGGGACAAAGAGCCAGCCAGATAGAACCCTTCCCTGCCTCCCTGGGTCTACCCAAAGCCCAGGGCGTGATATTCTGACTGTTAGAGGTTACACCTGACCATAGGCTTCTCACAGGAGGTCTAGGACACTGAGCACTTGGTCTGGTATTCAGTTGCCAAGCTACTCCAAGCCCCCAGACAGTCCAGATGGACACAATTGATGGGAGTTTGCTTCTGGTGGAGAAGAGGGATGTTGTTGATGTTCCTGGAAAAGCCAGACCACAAGAGTCATTTTGGGGCTCCTGGCTCAGGCTGAACAGGGACCGGTAGAGATATGATTCAGAGTCCACAGCCAGCCCCACGGTGCCCTGGTTCCCTGTGGAAAACTCAGGCTGTGCCAGGATGACCAAGTCTCATACCCAGTGCTGGCATCAATGCCCAAACCTGAAAATGGAGGCAGAAACATACTGGCAAGGTAGAGGAACCCCCTGGAGAACAGACGCACACTGCCAACACTGGGCCTGATGTATAGCGGGGGCTCAGGAAGCAGAAGTTCCTGGACACCTACCTTCCCTCTCCTTTCAGCTTCCTCTAGGAGCCTCTGATAGCTACAAGTCCACCAGAGACTCTCAGGCCAAATACTGAATCAGGAGTTGGTCAAGTCTATAAGCTGAGGAGCCTGGGGTATTTCCTGGGGGT